GAAAGAGGACTCAAAGGCATGGAGGGAAATGAAATAAAATGGAACAAGATTTTCTGAAAGGCGGCTGGTGCCTGACTAATGTGATATGCTAGGATAAGAAAGATAGGTGACTTCTTAGACAAAGGCAACGCAGCAGCCTTTCTGCAGATTCTAACAAAGCTTTCCAGTAGAAGTTGTCATGTAATATGAAAAAAGCTGAGAAAAATTAAGTGGATAAGCCTCAATTAAAGGGAAAATACCAGCTCCTGAGAAGGGTGGCATGAGGGGACTCAAGACCTGCTCTAAACCTGCCATAGTGACCTTGGTGCAGAAGCCAGCAGGCATTTAGGTAATCAGAAGGTGACACAACGACGCGAATGCCAGCGCCAGGGGCTGGAGGTGAGCAGGGCAGCACGGTGTGCGCAGGGCTCTGGCTGACAGGAGCTACTGTGCGCCCCGGGCGCTGGATGCCTGTGCATGGTCCCAGCGACCTACGTGCAAAGGGAAATAAAAAAAAAAAGAGATTGAACTGGGACACGTGCAGAGAAAAGCTAGGAGATAATTAAGCGCTTAGGTGATAATCTCCTCTTATGAAAGGAGATTTGAAGGAGTTTGGTGTCTTCAGCCCCGCAGAGCAGAGGTGGCTGGTGGCTGGAGGTGCTGCTCAGGTGTGGTGAGGCTCGACGGAGGTGCCAGGCTGCACCTTTACCTTTATTGACCTTCCTCCAAAGGAGCGATGCTTGGGTACAGCACGCACTGCTGTCATCTGGGAGAAGAAACGCTGCAATTGCCTTGTGAATGCATCTTCCTCACACACACGTCGAGTTAAATTACCTCCCGGACCATGGCTCGGGGGGAATGTCTCCATTTTTCAGGCTGCCCATCACCACACGGCTTTGCCTTGTTCTCCATAGGAGCGTGGCTGATTTCTGAGGATTATCTGCGTGTATTTCAAGCAATAAGCGCTCTGCTGTTGCAGGCAATTTGGTTGTCCCTGCTCTCTCACTGCTGTTTTTAAGCTTTCAGTCTTTTGCACGGACAGATTCAGACTTTTTTACACATCACCAGGCGAAGGCTGTGGCTCGCAGAGTGGGTTTGTAACGGGGGAGCAAACATTTCAGTGGGCCCTGACTTTGCATCTCCCTGCTTAGACCTAAGGACTACCCATAATGTGACAGCAGGTTTTTGGGGAGCCTGCCAGCCCCCTCCTGGCCTGAAAGGTTATAAAGAGGAAGAAAGCAGCAGTGACTGAAGGAGGAAACTCCTTTCATGTTGTTTCATCACCTTCCGTCTCTACGCAGTGAGGATATAGGACGGCCAGCACCAGCAAGCTTACCTCGGCGTGCTGCTCTTCCCCACATGCTTAATTTTAGTTCAGAATTATTTTTAAAACTTTCTGCTTTCCTCAGTCTGTCTGTTCTTATACAACATGGTATCCTCAGCCTAAAAATAGCGCTGCATCCACCGAGCTTGTGATCTGCACATACGTTTGACTCAGCACAGCATGCTGCAGGCAAGCAACCAACAGCCAGGCTTCTGAGCGCGTTTCGTTGGTGCATGTAGGAGTGTTCTGCAGAAAAAAACCCCCTCGGTACAGAGGAGGGGCTCTCTCCTTCCCTCCCTGGCTTCCGTGCCAGAGCAGTGTTCAGACTTGTCAAGCACCATTAATCAAAACAAAAATGGGCGTTAATCTAGAGTTAGAAGGAAAAAGAAAAAGCATTGAGATGGCCAAACTGCCTCAGATCAAGGACCCTGTTAGTCAAGTCTGCCGTCTCTGAAAATTATGAAGAATGGCTGCTTCAGAGAAAGTTTTCTTCAAATAAGCCTCACAGCAGGTAGTTATTGAATAACTTGATAACAGAGGGAAAATCTTTACCCGGTTAATGGGTGGCTTAAGCACAGACTTGTGTCTCCTTTAAGGTATTTTACTTTA